AGAAACTGTTAAATATAGTATGGCAATAGATGCTAGAAAATAGCATTGTCTATGCCTATAATGCAAAGATTTATTTTATTTTTACTTGAGTTACAGAAAGAGTGCCAGAGATCTTCCTTCTGCTGGTTTTCTCCCCAAATGCTTACAAGGGTCAGAGCTGAAGTGATCCAAAGCCAGGAGCCAGGAGCCAGGAGCCAGGAAGATTCTTTGGGTTTCCTACATGTGTGTGGAGGCCCAAGGACTTGAGCAGTTTCCCACTGCCTTCCCAGGCTGTAAGCATGGAGCTGGATTGGAAATGAGCCAATCATAACCCGAAATGGATCCCATATGGGCTGTTGGCACCATAGGAGTAATTTAGCCTAAGACATGGTACTGGCCACAGATGCATTTTTCTTAAGTAAAATTTTTTTTTTCATGAAAAAGGTGATGTTTGAAGTAACAAATTACAGATATGAAGCTTCATGTAGGAACAAACATATTAGAAATACTCAACAGTAACACAGAACCTAGTAAAACCATAGAGAGAAATTGCAAAGTAAAATGCAGATCTCTTTGTCCAGCAGTCATTGAAACCAAGCCAGTTGTAGGTACAAAACAATCCAGTTTGACGTTAAACTTCTCTGCAAAAAATCCAACTCCAGGTGACAGCAAAATAAGAACTACTCAAGGAAATGAAGTGCAAACCAAGATGTCTATATTTGTTTTTCTTTTACCAAAAGCTTACAAATAGTTTTAAAATCTAGAAAATTCAGGAAATACTCTCATGATTTTTTCTTGAGGAAAACACTAGAGATCAAACATTAATCCTGCAACAATGTCGGAAAATTCTACAAAAGAGGACCTGAAATAGTTATTAATTGTTTTCAATTTTAGAAATGAAATTAAAACATGCAACATTAGGCTGCCTGTGCCCTGACAATGTAGGGATAATTCAGTTACAAAACAAGGAAGTCAAAGGCCAAAGAGCCAATAGTTTAATGTTTGCTTCTCCTGAGTGTTAGAGGGGACCGAGACATGTGCAGGTGTGAAAGTTCCACCTTAGATGTTGAGGAACATCGTGCGAGTGCCAGGCATCAGGCGATGCAAGAAATGGGCAAAACAAATGTTGACAGTGCTCACAGAGATAGATTCTATCCAAAGATGTAAGAGTATTTTGGAAAGTTAGTGCCATGGATGTTATGAACAAAAAAAGAAATGAAATGCCTTGTGAATACATGGGAGAGAACATTACATACGTAGTGTGTTTTCTTCATATTTACATACATTAACGAAAGAATTGTAATGGAATAATTACAGTGCATTTTCTGTGACACTGAAAATCTATGCTGATAATACATTTGTTAAAGATAATGATAATAATCAAAAAAGGATCAGCACTCTGGTGTAGCACATTAAGCCATCTCCTTGCAGCGCAGGGGTCCAATATGGGCGATGTTTCAGGTCCTGGTTGCTTTACTTCCAATCTAACTTCCTGCTAATGTGACTGGATAAGCCATAGAAGATAGTCCAAGTACTTGGGCCCCTTTGCCTTCATTAGAGACCCAGAAGAAGCTCCTGGCTTCACCTGTCCCAACCCTAGCCACTTCAGCATTTGGAGAGAGAGAGACAGAGGATGGAAGACCTTTCTTTCAGTCTCTCAGTCTCTCCTTCTCTCTCTGTCTCTTTATCTATAATTCTGCCTTCAATCAAATAAACCTTTAAAATAAAATAGATCATACAGTAGCACCATTTTCTCCAAGAAGGTTTTTGTATTCTGTTTTATTTCTTCATCGACACATTGGTCATTCTGTAGCATGTTATAAGACTCCATGGTGCTGTAATTTTTTTAAACTTCATTTCTGTTATTGATTTTGTTTTATGGCTGTTCATTTAAGGAAATATATAGCAACGGCATAATAGAGACTTGTATATCCAGATGTGAAAATGCAGTGCAGAATGCATTCTGCTTCCAAATCCAAGGACTCCCAGTGAGACTCCTGGAAGTAGCTTGACAATAGGATGCTGGACTATCTGCTGTTTTCCATACTGGCAATGTCAGGACACACTTGACTAGCAGATTGATAGACTTATGATTACTTATGAAGGACTATACTATTGTAATATTGTGGGGGGAGGGAATTTCGGGAGAAGGTAAGGAAAATCCCAGACCCTATGGAATTGTATCATAAAATTAAAAATAAAATAGAAGGGAAAAATAAAATAAAATAATAAAAACAAACAAAACATTTTAAATGCTTGAAAGGATAATAAAATGCAAGAGAAAGTAGCAGGAATGAACTAATATTGTTTATAAACACACGTTCACATATGTGGTATCTTATGGTAAGATGAATGAGTTGAACTTAACTCCAGTAAAGAATAAAGAACTTCAAATCTTACCACAAAGTGAAGACCAAAGTCTGTAGTTTCTGCAAGTCACATACATATGTAAGTGTTCATTTTGAAAGGTTTAAATATTATTTCAGACAATACGCATGAAGAAAATACAAGTCCGGTCTAATAGAAAAATGAAAACTGAGGGAAAAAACATTAAATAGAGCAAACATGGGCACTTTGTTAGGCTGAAAGCTTCAATTCATGATACAAATTATCAAGTGCAGATATTTCATATCTGTTCTGTAATGTCAAGTTCCGTTAAACAAAATCCACATGATGAATGGCAAAAGATCCAAACACACCAAAGATAAGAAATTTTTTGTTCTCCGACTGAGAATACTTAAACCATCAGTAATCATATACAATTGTTAGATGTGTATCTAACCTTATACACTCAGCAGTAGTGAATTATATTTCTTTTCAAATTATCTTAGATTGTTTACAAGAATAATTATATTCTAGGGTCAGTTTCCACTTTTAGCACAAGTTATATATTGGGAGGCCACAGGGATGGCTCTTGTGGTTGGGTTCTTGGCACTTGCATTTAAAGTAAAAAATATCTTAAAAGATCAACAAGAAAGTGTAGAAGTAGTTACTTACTAGTAGAATATAAACTGAGCAAATTGAGAATGTGGTAATAAGGAGAATTCTTTTTGATATTCTTTAAAAATGTATGTTTTTCCTTGTGAAGTTGCTACCTATATTAATATAGATGCCACAGGAAATAGAAGATAAAAGTCAGCTCTCCTGTGGGGAACTGGAGGAGACAGTTGGAGTGGACAGTATTTAAACTGAGAAGTAAAGAATGAGTGGAGTTTGTTTGATTTGGCAGATTGGAAAGGTCATTCCAGGACAAGAATTGAATGAAAGGAAAGAATAGTAAGCCACACGTCAATTTGAGGAGTAGTAAACACAGTTGGGCATTGAGATAAATGAGAGCATGGAAAAGGTGATGGAAGAAGGATAGGAAATAGGCCTGAAAAGACATTTAGAAAGCTAGATGCTTCCTTTGGAAACCGGCTGTGTGTCATGTTAAGTTCTAGTATGCTCCATTCAATAAAAATAGAATACCTACATGACATTTCTTGTTCTTGGTGCCGCATAAAGGAAACTCATCCTTCTAGGCTAGTGGTTGTCAATCCTGTGTATTGAAAACACTTGGCAAACATCAGAAATACTGATGCCAAATTCTATTTCACACGATCAAATTTCAATTACAGACTTCATGTTAATAGTTTCTAAAAGGGTTGTTAACATCCACATGTAAAAATTAATATCCACTTTACTACTTTCTTCTTCATTCCTCCATCTTACTTTATCAATAATAATAATATGGTATAGAAAGTGTTTGTGGCATAGCTGTAAAAAAACTGCTGGACTAAAACCAAGAAAGGAGATAATTGAAAGTATTTCAAGCAAGAAATTATACAGGCTGTTAAAAAGAGCAGTGAACAAAAAGATGATGAAAATTATGAAGGAAAGCATTGTGAATTTATAAGATTTTCATTTCAGAAATGCACATGACTTGACCACTGGTTAGATATGTGGGGCTGAGCTTATTGGTGAGCCAAGTATAACTGAAGCTTCTGGTTTAAAAGTTTGGATATTTGATGACGTCATTCATGAAGAGAGGAAACACACTGGGAAGTACTAGTTAGGGCAGGTCCAGAGGCAGAGGTGAAATGATGGATTTGATTTTGAAGAGTTGCAGTGAAGGTACCTACAGCTGATAAAATATCAGTAAGGGACATTTGGATCTCAGCGGAGAAAAGACTATTTTAAAACCTGCACTGAATGGCCTTCCACATCAGATAATATTTCAGCAAAGACTAGACCCAAACTTAACAGATGCCAGGACTCCAGTTTATAGGGTAGAACACGAGAAGAGCAAGGTCAAGCTTACCTTCTACCACCTGGCATGATAGGGCTGTGGCAAAGGGTGTGTGTGTGTGTGCGCGCGCGCGAGTTCCACAGGGGAACAATTATGAGGATGCCTGAGCTCAGAGTGCAGGGTCTGCACTTCCCTTCCATATTCATCGGAGTTCTGCATCAACATCCGATCTTTTTAACATCTGTTCATATCAGAATACTAGCTTCAATTGCTTTTTGGAGCAATTGCTCCCCTAACCCTTGCTGCACCCCTCAGTACAATCCAGGAGCAGCTGGATGTTTGTGATAAGGCTTCAACTCAGGTTTTATGGACAGAATAGGGTCTAATTTGCACTCACCGTTCCCCTGAAACTCAAGCCCAAGGCTTGAGAAAACTGTTTCTGTTTCCAAAGATCAGGATCATAGGAGACCCTGGGCCCTGCAAGTGGGAAATGGAGGGTCTGGTCAGGGAGGGAGATAGAACTGTGCAGCCTGAGACCCTGACAGGGTTTGAAGAGGTGGCACCTGAGGTCCTCAAAAGATGCTTGGCCTGCAATACTTCAGCAACCCTTTGGGTTCTCTTGCAGCATCCACTCATTGTTAGCCAAATATCACTCAGCATGGCTAAACTAAAAGAACCTTTAAAGCAAATATATGTGAGAATGTGCTGTCCTGACTTCTTTAAGAAGCGAAGGTGTCTGAATTATGCTATTTTTACTTACACTCTACTTAATTATTTCTTTTCCTCACAAAAGCTTCAGTTTATACCAACAAGCAAGATCTCTGAGCTTACTTCCGAGTGCCTCACTTCAGCACCTACGGTGAGTAAGTAGGATTGAGCCATTTGTGTCATGTTTCTCATCTGAAGAATGGGCCATATAAGGGCCGAATAGAGAACAGAGTTCAGAAAGTGAACACTAACAGATTTTAACTATCAGTTTTGGTTTCTGAATAGGGCGATATATCTGTGTCTCAGGGAAAATATCGAAAATAAAATATAAATCTAAAGTATACATGATCTTATTGCTTGGACACAATGAACATGTAAGACAACTTAATATATTTCTTTTAAGCAAATAGAAGAAAGTAATGCAGAAATTATTTGTTCAAAATATATAATATTCAAAATATATAATAATATAATATAAATATTATGTCTTGTATTTGCATTATATCACATGATGTTTGTTTTCTGAAGTTTAGAACCTAGAGGGGAAGAGTTTAAACTGTTCAGGTTTCCTTAAAAATTAACATTTGTAAACATTTTGAACTTCTCAGTTATTTCAGTCACACACAAACATGTGAAGCTATCATTTTAATTGTTCTTTTAGCAGGATCTGATGGGATTGGTAAATGCCAACCAATCATTAAGCAAACAGTTCATAGATATACCACATATAGTGAGTATCTGGCATTTTCTCACCAAAAATAAAGCACTCTAATTCGTGTTTAATAAGGAACTTTTCTTTCCAGAGCATCATTTTATTTTTACTTGTTACTACTAAATCAAGGTGTCAGGGACCACGGACCTCAAAATAATCTGAAACTGCTCTAGCTTGGTCACCTAAATCCAGCCTTTCATAGTAATTTATCAGAGATCACTGAATATCTGAATTGGACACTCATGCTCAGAGTCTCCCCAGTTCACCTGTCGTAAGTTACCAGCTGTGTCAATAAAGAGCAGTAACAATTGTTTGCAAGTGACTTGTGCTAGGAAACAGATGGTACATGTGTTGTTGTAATGCCTATAACAAAACTGTAGCAACAGGGCCCGGTGTGGTAGCTTACCAGCTAGGATCCTCTCCTTGCATGTGTGGGATCCCATATGGGTCCTGGTTCTAATCCTGGTGGCCTTGCTTCCCATCTAGCTCCCCCTGCTTGTGGCCTGGGAAAACAGGCCTTGGGCCCCTGTACCCTCTCAGGAGATTTGGAAGAGGCTCCAGGCTCCTGGCTTCAGATCGGTGCAGCTCTGGCCATTGTGGCTGCTTGGGGAGTGAATCAATGAATGGAAGATCTTGCTCTCTGCCTTTCTTCCTCTCTGTGTATCTGACTTTACAATTTTAAGAAGTTTTTTTTTTTAAACTGTAGCAACAATATTATGCCTTAAAGATTTCATTTAGATATGTAAAAATTGGTATATTCAGTTGCAAAATGATGCTCATTTATGAGAGAAAAATTGAAGCCACATTGTCTCTTTGCATCCTCACCAGTCAGGAGGAGAGAGAGCCAGACCAGTGGCTGTTAGGACTGTAATACGTAATAATATCCGCAGGAACACAGGTGTCACTTGTGCTTTTCCACAATGACTCTCACTCTGTTTTGTTTCATACAGTTCTGAGTGGGCTCTAACAAAGAGGCACACATATTCTAGGTCTCTGAGCAAGTGTGTCCTCAGTGGATGAAGAAGTGGCAACAAACAGGGGGCAGGAAGCAGGATGTGGGCTGAGGGTAAGGGCGGGGACTGACCTGTGTGTACCAGGGAGCTAAGGGCAAGCGAACTGTCTTGGGAGAATTTTAATTGCTGAATCAAATGATTAATCTGACACTATAGCAGGGTACACTTGCAAAGCTGATTTTCTAAACTTCTGATGCACACACTTTTTGCTGGTAGTAAAAGGTGTCAAGCAGTGTGGCAAGATGATAAGGAAATGGTAAGTAATTAAAAAGAAGATGGTTAACAAAAATACTTTCTGATTTAAGGAAAAAGGCGTAACCCGGAAAATCAGGCCTTCAGGTGACAGCTTGAAGCATGATTCTCTTTCATCCTTGGAGCTTTCGGACAGCCACAGAAGCCAAAAGAGACTGCCAGAGGAGGAATATTCTGATGTAGAGTATGTTTCAGAGACTAGCATTAGGAAAACATCAATGCAGAAGAGTGGCCCCAAAAACCTTCCACAAGAGACAGATTGTGATGTAGAGTTTGTTTCAGAGATTAATATTAGAAAAAAATCAGCACAGAAGAGAATGAGACACACAGCAGCCACGTCTGAAACTGTCAGCCTCGCTGAGAAATCCAAGGTATTGTTTTAATTCTTACAAGGTATGTGATAATTCACTTGCTCCAGAAGCAGCATTTGGTAAAGGTTTTCTTCATCTCCACATGTTAAAGCACTCTAATTATAGAATGCACAGTGCTATCTGTTTCCCGGACAGGGACCCGGTTTCTATTATTTTTTTTCCTTCATACTGTATTTTGGAAGAAAAGTTAGATTGCTAGCATCAGCACACTGTCGGAAGAGCTCACCAGTTGAAGGATGCCTGAATAAGAAAGCAATTTTAAATGTTCATTTAAGAGAAAAGTATTCATTGCGTCTTAGCCTTTGGCTAAGATCAAGTGCAACAAGAGAGAAATATTCAGATAGATAAACCATTAATTACAAACATTTTTAAAGGTTTTTCCATTTTTTATGTAAGAGGCAATTCTGCAGAATGAAGGAAACAGAGAGAAAGAGAGTGATCTTCCAGTTTCTGGCTCACTCCCCAAAGGGCCTCATTTATTCATAAAATTTGATGCTTAATGTCTTTTTGCAAATTGAATTCACTGTTGGGGGAGAATATGGACCACTGTTGAAAGCATTCAAGCGGCAGCCTTGGGATGCCTGCGTTGCAAACCAAAGAGCCTGATTGGAATTCCAGCTGTTCTGCGTTGATCCAGTGTCTGCTGATACGCACCCTGAGGGATAGCAGGTGATGGTTCAAGTACTTGAGAGGCTGCTACTCAAGTGGTGGTCTTGAATTGGGTTTCAGGCGCTGGTGTTAAGCTGGGCCCAGCTTTGAGTGTAGTGGATATTTGGGGAGTGAACCACAGAATGCATGATCTCTCTCTCTCTTTCCTCTGTGTGTGTGTGTGTGGGGGCGCTCTTTCAAATAAACACAGAAAATTAACAACATGCATTCAGAAGAGGTTCCAAAGGCTACACTCATCTGAAGAGCATCGTCCGCTTCACTTCTGCCATAAGTGAAACACTGTGTTAGCATCATGGTCACAAGATTGCTTAGGATAATTTTTTTCAGAAGGATTTTGAGCAACAGTTGCATTGCATTTATTTTAATAAATGGTGTACAGACTCTTCCTGAAAATCTTTAGTGTAAAGGTTTAATTTGTAAGTCAGTCTTTTGGGTGGCTTTTAAAATTTTTGAAATCTGTTTCTCTGTGATTTCAAATTTTTGCCTGAAATATTTTCTTGGCACGTGAGCCATGTGAATCTGTGTACAATCTGTAGAATTTTGATTTTTGCCTTCTATTATATCTCACAGCTAAATCTACAGACTTGTGTATTCTGGAAATATTTATTCTACCCTTGCTGTCATTGAAGTAATGTATGTTTGTAAAACAAAGTAGATGTATCACTTTTTTAGTCATATCTCCTGATTTCCTCAAAAACTCATTAGCTGTGCAATTTTTTTTAAAGATTTATTTTATTTTTATTACAAAGTCAGATATACAGAGAAGGAGAGACAGAGAGAAAGATCTTCCATCTGATGATTCACTCCCCAAGTAAGCGCAATGGTCAGTACTGTGCTGATCCACAGCCAGGAGCCAGGAACTTCCTCCAGGTCTCCCACATGAGTGCAGGGTCCCAAGGCTTTGGATCGTTCTTGACTGCCTTCCCAGGCCACAAGCAGGGAGCTGGATGGAAAGTGGAGCTGCTGGGTTTAGAACCGGTGCCCATATGGGTTTCCGGCACATTCAAGGCGAGGACTTTAGCTGCTAGGCCACGCCGCCCGGCCCTGCTGTGCAATTTTAAGATTAGGAATTTTTACATTTATTTGTAGATATCTTACATGCTTCAAAAACATGTAAGTCAGGCCCGGCATGGTGGCCCCTGCTTGTGGCCTGGGAAGGCAGTCGAGGATGGCCCACAACCTTGGGATCCTGCACCCACATAGGAGAACTGGAGGAAGTTCCTGGCTCCTGGCTTTGGATCAGTGCAGCACCGGCTGTTGGGGTCACTTGGGGAGTGAATCATTGGATGGATCTTGCTCGCTGTCTCTCCTCCTCTCAGTATATCTGACTTTGCAATAAAAATAGATAAATCATTAAAAAACATATATAAGTCAGAAATCAAGGGTCTGTCCAAATGGTACAAGACATTTTCGACATTTATAAGACTTATTTTACAGTAGCATTGTGACTATATGTGTATATATATAAGTATGTATTTGTCCATGTATAAATATCTGGAAAACAGCACAAATAAGGTTTATGGACTAATGAGATTAAAGCGTACCATGGGAAGGCATTTAGCATAGTTGCTAGTTTAGCAATTGATGTGCCTGCATTTCACACTGGAGTTCAGGTCTTGGGTGTGATCCTGCTTTCAGCTTCCTGCTAATGGAGCGTAGATGTTTGGAGGCAAGGAGATGATGATTCTGGTACCTGGCCATCTCTGTCATCCCCAAGGGAGATCTGGGAGGAATTGTCAGTGAATGGGAGATATCTCTCTACTTCTCAAATAAATCAATACATTTTTCAAACAGACAATGTATCTTTTCTGTGGACTTTTGAGGTAATAATTAGGATATATCCATTTCATAATACATAAGTATTTACAGCAGTTTGTAAGAAAAATTGAATTAAAGGAATGTTTATTTTATTACAAAATGTTTTTTGAAATTTATAGATTTTTTCATAATGGGCATTCTTTTGCTAATATTTTGAAAACCTTTTGTGTACCTGTGTGTGTGTACCTGTGTAGGTATGTATATTAGTTTATCTTCTTAAAATATGTCACTTTGCACACATTTTAAGACTCAACCTTGACTAGAACTATTTATGGTTGTTGCCCCATCGACTTGTAATTCTTGTGATAGACACAGACTGTACAGAAATTGTACCAACAGATGGCAACCAGCACCGTGGCAGTTTTCATGACACCATGGCAGATTTCAGTTAGTATGAGTGCTTACGATAGAGGATTTAATCCTTTCTCGTAGGACAGGGAAGTCTTTCTAGAAAAAAATAGTGACTAGCTTCTTAGGACTCAGTTCCAAATAGATTGTGAGAGGATAGGAGGAGAAGTTCTGGTTCATGAAAAGTGTACATTTGTTTAGGAGGGAAGGTGGTGATAGCTTGTATTGTATGGACAGAAAAATGGGAAGGGGATGTGGTTTGAGATGAATAATAATTTATTGTTGCAGTCACCCTACTATACTATACAGCATTAGAATTCCTATATATGTGCAATTTTATACAACATTAACAAATAAATTATTGTACATTCCAAACACTGTTACAGAGGAATGTCAAAATGATAATACATGTTTGCAGTGAAAGAAATGATAATTCTGATTTGGCCAGTGTATACACATTGTACTGGATACATTATAGTGCTGTGCTTCATAAGGACCTACAATCTGAAGTATCAGTCTTAAAAACAAAGTAGTTCCAAGAAGGAGAGTGATAGGACCACTCTTTCTTTTAGAAACAATTGCTCTGACCAAGTATGGAAGGTTAGCACAGAGCAAGATTGCTTTGTTGCACGTCGTCTTTTAACTCCTGCTTGGTCACATTAGGATGAACCCTTTGCCTGGGATATTCCCTTGTAAAAGGTGAACAGCCCACAGGGCCTGTGCTGGGCTTATTGCCTTGTGTGGGAACATTATTGTCTATTTCAGACTGAATGTTCTGCTTAAATATGTGTGTCCCATGGCACCCACCAAATGAGCTACTCTTTATTCTTATGAGATTCAACACTATTTACTCTTCATGTGAATGAGAACATGAATGGGCTATTTTTGACTGCTTTCCCAGGCCACAAGCAGGGAGCTGGATGGGAAGCAGGGCCGCCGGGATTAGAACTGGTGCCCATATGGGATCCCGGCGTATTCAAGGCAAGGACTTTAGCCGCTAGGCTATTGTGCTGGGCCCTCATTATAGTATTTTTTTTGGACAATACTAATATGAAGATATCTTAATAGAAGTATTTAAAGTCTCTCCTTGGGATTAATAATTGATGTCTAGAGTCTGGTTATTTTTTTTAGCAGTTATACATCATGAAAGTGGATGTGGGCAGACTAGTTCGACAGCACAGCAGTGTTCTAATGGAGAAATCATGGTAGTGTGGTCTAAAGTGATGGTGGTGGATATTACAGTACTCAGAAAGGCACTCGGTTTGGTAATTAGACTTGCTTACTTCAAAAGTTTTCTGTTAATATTTTTGGCTTGTGGGTAACAGACTGTAGAGAGTAGAACAGGGAAGGGAAGGGACCACTGTTCTGCAAGCCCTCTGATTCACTTTTTTTAAACTTGAATTTTTCATGATATAGTTCTGAGCACCACAGCTTCTATCACTCATCTATACCTAATTTGCTTTATAATGTACTTTTCCCTTTAAGTATTCTTTTATTTGAAAATATTTACTTGCCCATTTATTATTTTCCTTTAATGTACATTTTATTAGTATAAAAAAGCAACGTTTCTTTTTATTGCTGTAAGTGGTTAATCTTCCATGTGCTTATCTAAGGTATGTGCTTAGTAAGGGCAGTGAGTAGAGGCTGAAGGAGATAAAGCGTAAGTGTGGTTTCATGTGGACTGTTGATTGCTACTTACCTTGAATCTTTATTGTTAATACCATGTTGTAGATCTCTTCTTCAGAAATGAAAAGAAAGCAGCGACCAGACTTTGTAAAGAAATGTCAGGTACTGATGGACACTGAAACCAGCGACAGCGATCCAGAAGTAATCTTGGTGAGATAAGCTCTTCAGACTAAATGATTCCTTGAGATTTATTATGTTACATTCATGAAGATTATAGGAATACACAGTGCCTCTAAGTAACTGAAACTTTAGCTAAATAACCTAAACTGATACAGATAGACTGGAATTTAAACTCTGTGATTCCTAGTACTTTTGCCCTTCCCGTGTTACTTATCAGAGTAAGAAAGCTTTAATATTCATGTAAATATATATTTACATGAGCCCTTTCCATGTTGGTTATCAGAGTAAAAAGCTTTCATACACATGCAAATATTTAAATTTAGACATGCACATATATAACATATATGTATATATATGCATATTTACACATATGTGTATATGTATATATGTACATGTATACATGTAAATTTAAGCAGCCCAAGAAACCTCATGTCTAAATATGAATCATCTTAACGTTGCTGTAATTTATAATAAAGATACACACAAGAAAATGTAATGCTGAGTCAATGCATAGCAAGCTACTGCAAAGTCAAGTTGGGAAAAATCTATTCGAGAAATGAAGATACACTTTCCAGTTACACACAAAGTTACCGGTGATTTTAACCTGACAGGTGATGTCCCTTTGTCTTCATCAGGCCAATACAAGTCTTTGATATTTACCAAGGACAGATTCAAGGGACTGACCATATTCACAGCGCTTCTTTTGTTAAGTTGTGTTAAAGACATTATCCATTTTATTACTCATGTTCTTTGTGTTATATTTGGAAAAAAATATTAAAAGCGTGGTTAGATCATGGAACTTAATGTCAGGGTGATTTCTTTTATTACAGTATGGGTTTTGTTATTCATTTTAAGTCTCTGCTTGCAGTGAATTTATAGTTATTTTACTATACATTAGAGTAATTACAGTAATCTAGAAACAGATTGCTGTTTTTGACTTGATAACCTAAGTGAGGTACCTGAAAGTGCTATTTAAAATAATGGACTGGGTTTAAGTCACATGTTAGCCAAGTAGGAGAATATAATTTCATTTAACTTTAACTTTATTTATGTGCTCATTAACAGAAAATTGTTGTCACAGAATTTATGGTGTGACCATAATGATGCTTTTATTTTTATATGGGAAATTTTCAAACATACTAAATCAGCTTCTTTGTGCCTTTTTCCCAACTCCAATAGTTAAGGACCCATGGGTCAGTCATTTTTTATTCGTATCCCTTCCCTACCGCCATTACTTTCAGGCATCGTCTTGTGTTATCCATGAAGTATAATTGTTTTTAAAAGTCATTCAAATGCATGTTGAAAGGATACAGGATGATTTTGTAAATAGAAGAAGAAAAAAGGTCATAATCCAGGGTGCAAAGAAAATGAACGTAGATGTATTTTCAAAAGGAAAGGGGTCAGCATTTAATCAGAGGCTAGAAAGAAAGAAAGAACTGCAACCAGCGTTGCAGATAACACCCCCTCATACTCTTTGAAGCAATGTTTGGTATACCTGTAAATAAAGTAATATTTATATCACCATTTGCTTTGCAGACTCTTCAAAGTCTTTGTCTGTTTTTCATGTAACTGTTACTTTGTGGCATCTCCAAGCATTGCATAGGGCTTTTAGCAAATGCTTTTTCATGCATTAGGAATAACAATTCTATTTAAAATGTTGTTATCTTTTTATGTAATAATTTTCAAGTTCTTTTACTTGTAGATGTGTATGTTATGATTCATTTGTGTCTCTGTGAACATAGTGGGATATCTGTTTTCAAACTTAGGGTGTCTAATTAATTGGAATAAATATGTATTATCCAGAGATGTACATTAGTTTCTCTATTGGACTGTAGTTGCAATAATTCAGGTAGGAGATAATTGCTTCTGAATGCTCGTCTGTCTTCACTCTCCTGAACTGAAAATTGAAACAAGATTCTACTTCACTCCTATTCTCCTTCTTCATTACCTTCTATTTACAACATCTGAGTGCACTTGAGCTCCCATGTGCATGCAAAGAGGCTTGCATTTTGACTGGCTGGCTGTTAATTCAAAGGAAGGCAACAACTCAGTGCAAGTGAGAACAGTTAGCTACAGGGCACCTTCTACTATAGCCCACAAATGGCATTTGCTATTTTGGTGAATTTACTCAATGTTGGACTCAGGGTCTTACTTTTGAGTGCAATGAAATGTGTTATGTTCAGAACACAGAAGATAGTCTATTTCATGGGAATGGTTTCTCCTTGTACAAATTCACAACACCATTGCTTAATAGCATATTGACAGCTTAATCATTTAAAAGATAAGCCCAACATCAGTTAAACTGGAAGGCACACGTGAAGTTATACATTCTCTTAATTTCTGTCTGCTGTTTGGAATAACAAATTACCAACCCCAGTACCTGCTGGTGATCTAGGTGCTTGAATGCATAAAAGGCTTTCCACTAAGATGGACTGCTGTACTTAGCTGCCTGAAAGGGAGGACAAGAAGGTTACCCACTGAACTGTAATGCTAACAGGGCAGTGTCTTAGGGAAACCTGTCCTGTAGCTGTGCTTTCTCATTTTTGTCAGAACAATTCTTTTCTGATGAGAACATTGTTTTCTTTTGCTGTGCTAATAATGTCAGCTTGTCTATTGAGAGAATTGGTTTTTTACATGAGGATAGTTTATTTTTCAGTTTTCAGCAACCCTTCGTTTTGGCATTTGTGTCGACAGTCGTGTGGTTTCAAGTGAAATAATAGTGTTGATTAGTTTTCAGATTTCCATTTAATGTTGCCGTTGCTGTTTCAGTTAAAGGACTGCTCGTACTCCGAGGTCAGTCGTCCCCATGTGGCCTGCACCATGTTGTAACAGTTTGGCATGTTCTTCTGTCTTCTTCCTCCTATCTCCCCAAATTTCTGATTGGATGATCTGCCTATTACTTTTACACGAAAGCCGGTGATCTGTTGCAACTGTTTTCAAAAGCCGTTTTCTTCTCTTCCTTCTTTTCCCAATGAGACAATCTTTATTTTCTCATTATTTTTAGCGTCCATCTCCTTGTTCTATACAATACATTACATTTAATGTGCTTCCAGGCCATTCATGTGATATTAGGCTTGGATTGCTTCTTCATTTGCTTCTGGTCATATCCATTATTGGTTTCGCTTCCATGGCATTTTTCCCGTTTGATATTAGTTTATACTTGGCCTTTTAGCCTGTGCAGATCACTAATTTTCAGACCATGCAACGAGTAGAGTGTTCTTGCTAAGATTCTGTAGATGATTTAAAGATGTAAAAGTTTCCAACTGGGATTCAGTTGAAGCTTCAGGCATTTTCTAGAGATTAAAAATTGTCATGAAAATAATGAGGAGCTTTTTTTTTTAAAGACATCTTAATCCTTTTCAAAATGCCCTGGATAGCTTCTCAGTCAGACCTTTGGAGACATCTGGTATGGGATTGTTGGTCTGCGCTACAGCAAATTTCTCTCATTATTTTTCACGATCTTGTTAGCATAGTAACATTTCTTGCTGCCATGTCAAAGTATCCGGTATGATCCAAATTTATTATCTCTGACCTTGTAAAACTGAATTGCCCTGAAATTCACATGTATGTTAGGAGGGTCAGACAGGTGTGCTTTTCATGCAGTTAGTCTTTCCTCTTTCCAAGTGGCCTTCAGGGACTGTGTTTTCCACATATCGTCTCACCCAGTGCTCTCAAAACCTGAGCAGTCAGGTGCCCTCTTTCCTTCCCTGTTTGACAGTTGAGGAAAGTACAGCTTATTGAGTGATATTGTTACGTTACTGTGAATCCTAGGTTCTTAAGCTCCAACTTTCTTAACCACTCCTCACTATGACTTCTTTCATATTCTATCTTTCAACCATCCCCTACAGTTCAGCCAGCCTTTTCCACACAGATCATGTGATATGCACAAATGTGATTTTCTCAAGCATGAGCTTTTCAAGATGAACACATATACAAAGGGTCTTGATAAAGTTTATTAGAATGTATATTGTGAAAAGATAATCATGGGTTCCAAAAATGTTTGAACCAAAGTAGCCTTATAACTTAATCTCAGTTTCCAAAAGCCTTTTTAGTGCTGCCATATTACATTAACTGGCCTTTCATGTTCTGATTTAGCCATGGTGCAGAGTTCCATAGAAGGGCATTTCTAGTCAAAGCCTTATATCAATTTAAAAATATTAATGCATTGACTATTTCCTGTTCAGATTAAACTAACTTTTTCTTTCACCTTCTGATATCCACCATAAATTTAAAACCTTTTCATTTATTTCCACTTTATTTGCAAGGTCTACACATATGTGCATGCACAAGCAGCTCTTACCCCTTCCTCATACACAAATCATGCAGACATTGATTTGCTCCTGAAATGTTGGCATTGTGCAGGGCTGGGCCAGGTAGATGCTAAAGCATGGGACTCAATCCAGGTCTCCCATGTGGGTGGCAGGGACTCAGATTCTTGAATCTCACCTGCTGCTGCCCAAAGCTCCTTAGCAAGGAGATGGATTAGAAGCAAAGCAGCCAGGACTTGATTCAGCACTCCTCTGTGGGATGTGGGTAGCGAACACAGCAGTTCTGCTGTGCCATGGGCTGCTGTCATCTATGGTAAATCTTAACCCTACAGTGTGTTTCTCTTCTGTTCAGGACTTGACTGGATTTGTTATAATCATCAGGATTATCTTACCCTGGTATTTACTAGTTCCTGCCTTCTGTTAAGTAAAGTCTTTTCTTTGTGTGAGATCATCACTCTAGTAATGTGATTATTGTGGTCATAATATTTCCAGCAACCACTTGTGTAAGCTGATGTTATTTAGCTTTGGCCTTCAGAAATGGATCCTATTGTACATGCTCACAACAGATACCTTGCCTTCTCTTGCTATGAATCCTTGATATTCTGCACCGTTTTCTGTCTCAAGCATTTCCAAATCTGTGATAAAGTTCAGATTTGTCTTCATTAATCCCAGATGGCAGTGAAGTGGAAATTCTTCTGTAGCTTCTCTTATAGATCTTCCTGCCCTTGTCGGAAGGATCAATGCCTGGGTAAATGTTGCTGT